TTTTTATTATAAACTTTAACGAAGGAATCTCTAAGCTTATTTTTTTTTCAGTTCAATAACTGAAATTGTATTTTTTCATTTACATTCTAATTTATTAACATCGCCATCCAAACACATCTGACAACTGACAGGCAGTAATGGTACGATCATCCCTACGTACAGCATCGATCCATCACGGCTCGCGTCCTGAGTGCCAACATCAATCATGGCGGGTGAGTCTGCCACATGTTGAGCTGACCGGGCAGAGGGAGCGATCAATTATCCCTGAAATTCCCTTGCTAAGATATTCAGACTTAGTTAGTCTAAATGTTTCAGAAACTGAATGTATTGGAGCAGTTTCACACCTCTATAATGCTTTTCTTATCGCCGTAATTAGAGCGTCACCGTCGTTGGTGTTGCACTTTGTAGATGGAGTCTGTAATTCCCTAAGATAACCAGTGAGAGGCGCTGCTGGACTCCTGAATTTCCATTGAAAAGGTTCTCTGGGTATATGATGTCATTCTGAGTTAAGCTAGCCATCATGTGACACACACGATGTTTACACACACACGCACACACTCACAGTACGCTTGCTGGATATTAGTGTAGATTATTAATAAAAATATCTTTGTGTGGAATCTGGTGAAGCAGACTGAAGCAGCGTGGAATCTGTGGGAAAATGGGAAGTCGAGGGAGACTTTAGTGTTTTGATTGCTGAGGAACTGAGGGCCCTTATTAGGCCCACCGCAGGGAGCTGGAAGCTGCGGCCGGGTGCGGAGCAGGAGGCAAACAACAGAAGGTGGACGGAGGAAGAGACACGCAGAACAAGGGGTAGATTTAGAGGTGGGGGGCAACCTTTTCCTCCTTCACTCATCTTCAGTTTGTTTAACAAACGCGGAGAAACCATCAGCGTCGGTGGGAGAGTCAGAGGTTTGGCGTGAGGCAGTGCTTCTCGGTAGCCCGGCGCCGCATTTTGACCAATCAGTGTTCAGATAATGACCGCGCAGAGACGCATCCAAGCTGTGGAAATGATGACTTGGTTAGTCAGCGATGAGTACAGCGTCAAGTCTCATGCATTTTAGCTGCAAGTCTCTACAGCCGCTCTGTGGCAAAGGTTATTGGCTTCTGTTTGACTCATGTAACAATGGCAGAAACTTGTTACAGTGAGAACTGCTGGTTGAGGCGTGCAGATAATACCAACAAGCAAAGAAAACAAGGGTGCAAACAAAATGAAAACAGTATTAAAACAATTATGTACAGTTTCAGGAAGGGTGAGCTGTCCTACTGTAAGAGGCCGCAGTGATCATAGGACACAATTCACGCTCCCTCAGCTGACTTGCCTTCGCCCCCCTGTGTCATTTGTTCCTGAGTCAAGTAGTGCACGCACATTCCCGTTGATGGTACCTTCAGTAAAGCGTAGCAATCAGTATGGGGATCCTGATTAGTGACAACATTCAACCAGCTTTAACATCTTCAACAATTAGAGTTGTATTAGCTTATTCTTTGGATATGACTCCACGGGTCAAGCCTCTTCAACTCGCCAAGGCCTCTCACAGAGTCCATTGCTCCCTCCTTTGACCACTTTGACTTGGATCCAGAACTTTGCGTCGGAGCTGAAATTTTAAAGATGCCACAACCCTCTTAGCCGTCACAGCTTTGGCTCTTGGCAAACTTAAGACATTAACATGGCGAAGTTCATTTCTTCACTGTTAATTCACGTGTGTCAGATTGAACCAGTCAGTGTGACTGTTTTTATTTCTTTGTGCTGTTCAACAGGTGACACATTTGTGACTAGCATGAACAAATTGCAACATATGGTTTATATATATATATTTTTTTCAGAGATCCAATATTTTTCAGTAAATACTGGTACAGGAAATACACAAACAACCCAGGCAGCAGTTTCGACCAACAACTGCTGCTTTTACGTTTCTCCTTGTGTCTTTTGTTTGACATTCCTCTGTTGGAAGACAGACACTTTAAAGGCATCACAAACAAGTCTTTAATGAACTCCTTAAAGGGGAGGAGGAACGTCGCGCTAATGTGTTGCAAGTTGGGTTTTACGATTGCATGCATCCGCATGAATATTCCTCCCTGCTCAGAAGACACTTTTATCCACCACTTTTCTCCTCCGTGACAACGTGTGAACGCCCCTCAGATGTGTGCTAGTGCGTGCGCGCGCCATGTGAGGAGCTGCTATATGCTGCCTGACAGATGAGAGCTGAGACAGTATGGAGGGAAAGTAAATTGGCTTTGGCCTCTGTCTCAGGTGTAGCCAGCTCCTGGGTTTGCCAGGCTATTCTTACAGAGGGCAGGGAGAGGTCTCCAGCTCCCCTGGTGCAAAAACCACTTTATAGTATCCCACATCATGTTTTGATGGCCCCCAAGGATTGGAGGGCTGGGGGTGCGGAGGGGGGTGTTATCCAATGACAAGTGTGAAAGAGGGAAAATGGAAATGGCACCATGTGCAGGTGGATTTCTAAATGGGCAAGCGACGTCCTCTAATTTTCCCCAGCAGGCCGTCTTCTCTTTTATGTTCATTTATTTCTGTTTGCAGTCTGGACAATGGCATCTTTCACTAGATCACATCAGATATATTAAATCAATAGTTTTACGAATTTGTATTATAGATTTTTATCCCTTCTTTTACTACACAGTTCTTTAAGTGTGTGACATTTTGCCCTTTTAGTCTTACTTTTTTTAATGGAGAACCTTTCCATTACTACGTTACAATGTGCCATTTTTGTACCTTTTAGTAGCAAAAAGAAAAGCCTAAGTGAGGGGCAGCAGTTACTTTGTAACATTATGTCGTGCCTCTTATCAAATACTTCTAAATGTGTTCTTTTTTTCATTCACCTGCACGAACAAAAACAAGTCTGAATATTCAAAAATTTGTCCACACTTGCTTGATTTTAGTTCCTTTTGTGGTGTCATCAAAAAATAATCCAATCAGAATAAGTTCTGAGTGTTTTTGGGGATTTTTTTGTGCAATCCTGAAGGGGGAAATTCACCCTTCAAAGCCCAGAAGTGTTTTAATTTTGGTCTACATTTAATAGTGGGGAAATAAAAGTATCTTAAAGTGAAAACACTTGAGATGCCTTCAACTATATCTCCTATTTGAACAAAAGAGTCTGATCTTTTTTAACCAATTTTATGATAAATAAACATCAGTCACGGCAGCAACTTTAATGTCGATCTTTAATGGCAGATGGACCGAAATGTCTTCATTTAACATATTCATAAAAACGGCTCCATTTGATCACCTTTTTTTTTTCTGTGTGTGTGTGTGTGTGTGTGTTTCAAACCAACAAATTTCTGCAACTCACTGAGGTCAAATTCCTCCTCACAGTGGCTAAAGTACATAAATATCAACAGCACTGTAAGCATTAAGAAAAAGAACAAACATGCCGTGAGCATGCACAACACACAGCTACACACACTGAACCAAGCAAAGAAACATCTTTCATTAGCAGAGGGATCGTCTCATCAACCCCCAGGAAAAACTTATGTACCATAAGGCTGGAAAAACATGAAAAGATCTATTTGTTCTCCGACTTTCACAGTGAATTTATAGGAGTATTCACATATCAAACAGCTACAAACCAAAAGAAGCCCTAGAAAAATTATCAAATGATTATACAATTGAACTTACAATAATACTTACAGTGAAACATACAATAGGCATCTTCTATGATCTTTTAAAAGAAAAAAAAAGAAAAAACTCACACACACTTTTTTTTTTATAAATACTTGTTCTAATAAATTTGGCTCCACACTTGGTTTAAAATTGTAAAAGCAAGAGAAAAAAAAAGAAAAGGTCTTCATGTACTCAGGTGATATGGTCCACCGTTATATGATGCATATTATTATTATTATTATTATTATTATTACTACTCAACATGAAGAAACACTGAGAAATGTACATGACTCAACTCGTCCTAGATGGTTTCACACATCTGGGTTTAAAGATTACAGGGAGTATTGTTTACTTCTTACAGCATTTCAGTGTTTTTTTTTTTTTTTCTTCTTCTTCTTTAGCGCCACATCAGTACATGTGACTTTATCAGAAAAGTACAAGAATCGAGTACAAGGGACAAGGATCATAATTTTGTCATTAAAAATGTCACAGAAACATGATCAGTTCATGATATGTTGCACAGCAGATGTTATTGCAGAGAGACACCAGATTAGAAATGATTTTCTCTCCCCTCCCTCCACCCCCCCCTCTCATCTTGATCATTAATATGCAAATGCAAACTCGACAAAAGCAAGTTGAATCACGCAGGCTTCCTAAAAATAGACAAAAGAGACAAATCGCTTAAAGTAAAAATTCTTTCAGATGCTGAAGGACTCTTTGGAGTGACACCAAGAGGGACATGCAGCAAAAATAATATCTTACTTCATAAGAAAAATATCAGACCGAGGACTACAAAGCAGTCAGACATTGAATTCTAAATAGCACACCAGTATAAGAAAGAAAAAAAGAAAAGCCTTTGGTCTTTTTGTTTCTCTGTACTTATCTGTTGTCCTCTTGCTACAAAATGAAGGAGCAGATTTCTAATAATAGTGGAGTTGAGTTTGCCAGTCGTTGCCGTCTCTGGGGTCACTTTTTTTTTACCTTCACCGGTGATGGCTTTAATCCTGTCGATGCCTCCACTAGCACATCTGATTATGACAGCCTACAGGGCAAAAAAAAAAAAAAAAAAAAGGACTTCTGATTTAACTCGGCTCCATAAAACAAAGAAAAAAAGAGCAAACCAAAATCCATAGATTTGTGTAGAAAAGACAGGGAGGCAAACTGATATGACTGCTTTGGTATGGAAGGACAACTTGTAATTTTTTATAAATGGCACAAAACACAAAAAAAGGCAAAAAAAAAAAAAAATCAAGAGGTATGACAATTTCTCATACACAACATGAACCGATCAAAACATTTCAACATTGTCTTGATTACAAAAATACTTTTTTGTACTTCTTTAAAATACCTAAAAATGTACAGCATTGTTGTTTTTTATTTCGACTTTTTATTTTTTTAGTTTTTTGCAAAGTCATGCTTCGACATGTATTTATTATAATAACATTGATATGAATGATATACAGAATAGTAATAATTCTAGTATTATAACAACATTACTCGATAGCACTTTGGCCACACTTCCATGGATCTCCTCCTGCGGTCTTTCTCTCTTCCCGTACGCGACGCCATCGGGAAAACGCGGACCGTTTCCATCGCCCGAGTCAGAGGAGGTGTAGCCAAAGCGCTGCCTCTAAAAGCTCGAGTATGTAACAGTATAAAAAAATCTAATAGAGTTGCAAAGACTTCGGGAAGAGGGTTGGGACGGGCGCTTGATGTGCGATGGAGGCTGGGGTCTAGTATGTCCTGAAGCCCATAAGGCTGCTGCTGCCTAAGGGAGAAAAATACAAAAGGAAGATAAGGCTGTACAGGATTCTGCACATTGCAGCTTAAACACTAATGAAAATACAAGGGGACCATGCAGAGCTGAATGACACACACCGATTCTAAAAAAAAAAAAAACAAACAAACCATGAAATCTCGTACAAAAGCAGACACTGTAATAAAGACACATGCCCTCAAGTCCAGTCTTGGACTCCCCCTAAATCTCTAATACTCGCCTTTGTGTCTGCAAAACCACACAAACTTTCATCTGAAAAACAGTCACAGCATAAAGATAGAAATATCTCTATAAAATCTGGGCAGCAATTTGGAGAAAGTTCTCACACCCCTTGAATCGCCGTCCTGCTCCAAACGCTGTCTTTGACGTATTTTACTGGGATTTTATGCAATAACCCAAGATAAGCTTAGACTGCATGTAGAGCCTCCGTGAACATTTTTTTTTTTTTTTTTTTTTTTCAGCCTTGCCACAATTTCTCAATGGCATTTGGGTCTAAACTTTGACTAGGCCATTCTGCTTTATGTAAATGATCCTGCTGTGCCTGTATGCTTAGGATGGTCCTGCTGGAAGGTGAAACTCCACCACCGTGTCGTCTAACAGATTTTCAACCAGGATTGTCCTGTCTTTGCCTCCATCCACCTCTCTTCCCATGAACTATAATCCACTTCTGTGTCTCCGCTGAAAATCCACTTCCCCACAACATGAAGATGCCACCATCATGTCTGCCTGTGGGCACATAGTACTTTTTTTTTTCAGCCACAAACTTTTTATTTCTGGGTAGCCCAAAAGTCTGAGCCGACGTCCTGAAAGAGAAAGTACTTTCTTCTGACTATGACTGCATCTAGTTCTGAAAAAAATTGTTTTATACACACAAAAAGAAAAAAAAAAAAAGCTGCTCAGATGAAAGCTGACACAGTGTTAAAAATGTCTTAGTGGTTAGGTTTGAGCCAGCAGATGTATGCAGAGGTGTGTCACTTTTTATCTTTTTCACACACACACACACAGGGTGACAGAGCAGACACGGACTGCTTTGGTGGACACTTTGGTGGGTAGGTGGGATCTACACCTTGCCGCTTAGCTGTCCTCTCCTGTTGGAATCAGCGGAGGAAAAAAAAAAACAAAAAAACAAAAAAACTCACCGACGGTGCGCTGCTGCAGGATCTGGAAGCAGGTCATTCCTCCTAATTTCTAAAAAGGAAAAGAGGCAAACAGCAAAGCCCGTCACAGCCGGCCACGGCCACCATCACACATCAGGAACCTGAGGATGCAAAGAAAACCCAACATGTCCAATCAGTCACCTGAGGACGAGACATTTGACTTTTGAGTGCAGATGTTTGAGACACACAAAGAAACCAGAAGGAGATTTTTTTTTAACTTGACTGATGACAAGCTGGTAGAAAATTCAATGAATGTTTCATTCCCAAGCGTTACCATGGTGCACCTACAAAAAAGGCTCTTTTGTGTAGAAGTCATCACTGCAGGAAGTACGCCGAGTACTTCAGCGAAGAGTTTGAATAGAATATAGGAGGACATATATTAAAGGATCTATTTCAACAAAACATGTAGACGTGTCTGTGATTCAATCAGGTCCCAGGAGAGCAAGAGAGAGCAAGACTTTCAGCAGTTAACAGGAAGGCTCTCCTCTGTTTCATCCTGTTGTGGATAAAACCTGTCTGTGATTGTGCCGGTTTGAAAATGTTGGCAAACTCAGAAATAAGTCAGTTAAAGAAAAGATTGTCTAGGGAACAAAGAGGTTGCTGTTCTTCTAATTCCAGCTGTACCAGTCGATATTGTAAGACCATAAAGACCTTGAAATGTGAACAAGGTAATCAGTTTGTTGTTTTAAAACAAATTGCAAAGCAGTTGCCCAGTGTAGAGGGCAAAATCGATATTTATCAGTGCAAAAACCAGAACCTCAAAATTGGTCATAAAATTGAGATTTCCATTTGTGGTGGGGTTGATTTAAAGGGGGAAAAAAAAAACAACAACTTGTTTGGTCGTACTTTAAACCGCTTGTGCCAGTTATGACATTTCGGTCTGACTAAATGGATCTCCCTGATTAAAAAATATCCCCAAGTAAGAATCGAAAGGGACCAAATGTACCAGAACCTTTCTTTGATACACAAAGTTTGGTAAATAGACTAAAGGGATTCGATTTTCTTGCCAGGGGAGTTTTCTCAACATCCTGGACACACTCAGCTGTCTTCCCAGAAAATGAAATCTCTCCTCTGATTAGTAAACTGATGTTGACTTTTAATGTCACTGAACCCTCCCTTTTGTTTTCCTACAAATCTTTCAAGCCCAAACTTGAACTGTGACACGCAGGATGTCTCAAGTACTCATGTCAAGCTTCTCCCCGACTATCTGTACCTTCCACAGCATCCCACCACCAGCGGATCGCAAAGAAAGGTCAGACTTCCTCGCCAGATGTACTGCTAAAAATAGGCCTCTCCCTGAGACTGTGGCAACTTGAGTTCAGAGGAGCTTTGGGCAACTCTCTGGAACAATAAGCAACTAGAAAGTCATCCGTAATCTTATGAGAAAGAAAGAGAGTGGCAGACTGACATAGTCAGAGAGGATGCATGAGACTTGGAAACTGCTTCTTGAGAACAATGCTTTTTTTGTTTTAAGGGAGTAAGGACGCTTGAACTAACTGATGCCCCATTGCGCGTTCAATCAGGGATGAGGGAATCGATGCGCTACACAGCCGCTTGGCTAACCTGACGGGACGCTTGCTTCCACATCACCCTGTTTGTTCTGGCTGAGACGCCAAGGTTAAAGACTGGGTTGATCATTGAACATGTCTGCACAGATTAAGGACAGGTTTAGTGAATTTTAGGCTTAATATGTTACATCCAATGTCTCGGTTCTGCCGCATAATGTGAGGTAGGTAAACAAGCGGTGTTTGAGAAAGAAGGGGTGTGATCGGGTTTCTCATGAATGCATGGGCTGTTTCTTTTTTTTGAATTTTCTCGCTTGTTATCACCGATTGTCGATTGTGTGCTGTGACTAAAAGGTACAGAGGACTTGTTAAATCATCTAATAAGAGCAAAGTTCCAACAAGTAACTGATTTCAACCATGGTAATGGAAACAATTGTCTTGATTCTTTTGCTAAATATAGCAGAGTTTTAGATTTATGTCAAAAAAAAGCATTCAAGCATGAAGTTTTGGTAGCTTGTTAAGCTGGGCTACACAGGAGTCTGTTAATGCACAAAAAAACATCAGCAAATGAAGTTAAAGTTTAAATAGATTGTGAACGGAAATATTCAGAAAAGGTCTGAGCAAATATGGCTTACAAGGGGTTACCCAGTAGAAACACGTTTGTAACAGAAAAAGTGTGATTTCAGAGGACATAATACGTTTTCTCACTCTGCTTCTTTCTCCTACTGCTCTCCATCTGAGCATTACTTTTTACTGCTGCCATTAGCCTTATGTTCTCATTTTGTCATTGCACAGAAGTTACGTCAAGCCAGATGTCTCTGTTTAGCAAAAACTCCTTCCTGGAGGGGGAACTCAGCTGAGCTATTGCTGACAGTAACATGTTCTATCGATGACATTCATAGCCACTTTTCTCTCACTTTGTCTCCATCCTAGATAAAGCCACTGAAGGGGATATTGCTGTTTTTCACCCAGTTGATTTCAGAGTTTATTTACTTTGCTGTGAAACCACTAAAGGAGCTACAAACTTAACTTTTTAAGTTTTCCATAACATAGAAAATTCATCTGGATCAGTGTTTCTGTGCTTTTTTTTTTGTTGGTCAAACCCAAACTTGGTTGTGGCAGATGGGCTCTCATACTGAGCCTGGTTCTGCTGGAGGTTTCTTTCTCTTAAAGGGGAGTTTCCCTTTCCCAAGGAAAAAAACCGCCTGTCCTGAGCTGTGTTTACATCCCAACGATGGCTGCTGGGGAGGTGGGTGGTGGCGAATGCAGCTGCCGACATGCAGCTCCTGAGACCTGATGCAGCTACAGTCTATGCCTCTGTGTGTCAGCAGGGGATGGAGGAATAAAGTCCCACTTCCTTATTAGAAAGGGCCCCAGCTGGCCCAAAGCTCTCCTTCAATTGGAGTTAGTCCAACATCACACAGGAACCACTGGTTTTGTCAGGCTATTGGCCAAAAACCTCCTCAGGGCAGGCAGCCAGACAACACACACACACACACACACACACATATATATATTGGTCTCTCACAGGGTCACAGACAAGCCTGCATGATAGGGGTTCACACCCCCCCACCTCCACCCCCAGCATGTCTTGTCAGATGGAAAATACGGATTACCTTTCCCTGCAGTTCACCACGCATTAACGTCCACTGTTAGGTTGTCTTTGGAGCAAGCTCTTTACCAGAGCATGAATGTCAAATACAATTCAGCTTCATGGGCTTTCAGATGAATGAAGTGACTCTGAGTATCCAGGGGGTTATTACAACGCAAAACTAAAAAAAAAAAAAAAAAAAAACTTAATCAGCTCCGAAAAGTCAGTGGCTTTCTGTTTGAACTTGCAAGCGGCAGTGAATGTACTTCTCAGAAAGGCTCTTCCCTCCAGAGGCCAGGTGATTAGGACAGTTCACGGTTAAGGATCCCACACACCAGCGCGGTTCCAGCTGCCTGCGTTCTCTGTCTGCGAGTCGCCCCCAGTTAGTGAGACGCCAAGACAACCGCTGACCCACAACAAACCTCTCCAGACTGCTGACTTCTAGGCGAGCTTCGCCTTCCTTTCTGAAATACCAACATTCAACATTTGTAATTAATTACAGGCTTTTGCTTTTCCAAGACTACTCCCACAACATTACACAAGCAGTACAACAAACAACACCAGCGCCTTACATGAGTATTTACACCACTCGAGCGTTTTCACATTTTGTTGACCTCGCAACCACTAATTTTAATGTGTGGTGTTAGGATTTTACGCAAAAGGTAGTTCCTATGTGAGGAGCAGAAGGAAAATAAAGCATGGTTTACAGCTAAACATTTTGGACGGTGCACAGCGCCGTTTGTCCTCCTGTCAAGCTGGACACAAAAACAACGAATTGTTTGCAAAGCTGCAACATATCAGGGACAAACCGAGCAGGAAGGTTAACTAAACAACGAGCTCTCCGGTGGTAAAAATATAAGCCTGATTCGGCTCCAGCATGACAACACGACGACCGTGGATGTATTAATTACACGTGTTGTTTACTATGTGTGTAAAATAATCCACAAACCATCCAGCTTTACAATGATCATTCTAGCCTTTATCCAATTTTTTTTTGGGGGGGGGATTTACCCAGACAAAATGTTCTGTCAGGGTAAATTTAAAATTTAAACAAAGTGAAGGGGGGAAAAAAAAATCGAATGAATCTCCATTAAAAAGCACTTATCTGCAATTTCAATCGCCACTTTGTTACAATAGTAGTGGAAAAAAAAAAAGCTAGTTTGTTTCCAGGGAATTTTCTCTCCATTTCTTTCCTTAGTGGAAAGAAGTTTCAAAGATCTGACGTCTCTGGGGTTTAAAGGAAAAAACAAAAAAAAAAAAAAACAGATTCTGCCTGCTGCTTCGGGACAATGGCTTTGTGTTGCAAAGGACATAATTGTTGTTTCCCTCTAGCTGAGCAGTTATTGGCACCTCTTTTAAGGATGTGTCAAAAGCCTTGGAAGAATTTCACCGAAGATTACATTATAAATACAGAAAAAAAAAAATCTTGCCTTGATTCTGACAACAAACATTCAGTCTGAGAAAAATTGTGCGTTGAGAAGAAAATTGCAACCCAAAAAATTGCTGTAATTTTCTGCATTGCTTTTAAAACTTAATCAAGAGTATGAGATTATTTAATTTGTATTCATGTGCTATATACACGAAATGACACAGAAGCCCCTTTTTTACGAACCGGTCTTCAAATTGGGAAAGCCAGGCAATCATGCCATTAAACATTAAAGTTAGGCAATTACGTAACTACTGCATAGAAATTGCGACAATCCTAAACTTAAACATATCACAGTCTGTGAAAAATAAAATGTTTAAAACAACTGTAATGGTGACAAACGAGGCTGGACGAGGGTCAAAGTTTATATATACACTTCACAAACGGTGAGGAGAATGGTAAGGGAGGAAAAACTACCTTAAAAGTTCATAATTAGAGAACTGAAGAAAGGAAAAGTATCTTAGGATAACAACTCTTCAGAATCCTTACACACTGTCATGTGGGGGATTTTTCCTAGAGTTATGTGTTTTAGTCTTATCACCCTAATAATGAACTTTATGCTAACAAACATTCCAGGTG